GAGGCTTACATGCATGTTGCTAATGCCAGTTGAACACTTAATTTCTCTTATGAAATAGAACATTGCAAGCATGCATGCATGTCCAAGGGTATCGCATACATACAGTTGATTCCGTTTGACCGATAGATATATTTTTATACAATATATTTTCACACAACAGAGCATTAATTAATATACAGTATGTGCATCAAATTAGGATTTCCATCAATGTTGGGATTGATTTTATTATAATTAATATTAGCCAAGTGAACATTATTTTGTGTGACCTCCTTTTGATTTTAGAATATAGCTTTAACTCTTTCTGGCATAGTTCAACAAGTGTTCTAAGTACTACTGGCTTAAGGTTATTCCAGCATTGATTAAGGACATGCTATACAGTAGGTTGTCTTTACTTGTGGTATCATGTTTCACTTTCTCTTGTTTCAAATGGTCCCATAAATTCTCAATAGGATTTATGTCCCGAGATTGAGGAAGAAAATTTTGTAACAACTAAATCGCCTTTCTCATGCTTTCTTCTTCAATAATTTTTACACATGTGAGAAGGGTGGTTCGGATCATTATCCGTTGCAAGACAAATCTCCTTCCACACAACCTTGAGCTACTGTAGATGGTATAGTGTGATCTGGTTGTTCTGGATTTCTGCCTCAACTTCCAGCCGGACCTAAATCCTATTGAGAATTTATGAAAAGTGAAACATAATCCCAGAACTAAAAGCAGCCAACCAATAGCATGATGTTAATCAATAATTCTGGAATAACCTTGAAAACCATCAATACTAAGAAAAACCATATTAAATACTAAGAAAAAACCATAAAAATTTGTTCAGTCTACATGTATGCCAGGAAGAGTTTAAGCTGTTTTAAAATCAAAAGGAGGTCACACAAATATCAATATAATATTCACTTGGCTAATATAGTATAATCAATTCCAACAGTAGTGTATATCCTTATTTGTTGCACATATAGTCGGTAGTGTGTTGTGTCAAAATGTATTGTATATCAATATAAAAAGGCAAGATCATATTGACTGGACTCAGACTTTTGACCAGTGGCGTATAAGGTGGCTTTTCAAGGTGACTTTTCCAACTTATTTAACTCCGAGGAGAAATGTCTGGGAAAATAATTTTCAGAATTGTCCAAGATTTCACTCCCAAAATGCTTGAAATCGCATTTCAGGGGATCTAGATTTTAGAATTTTCTTGGGGGTGCATGCCCCCGAACCCCCCCTCCCCCCCGCCCAAGACGGTCTCATGCCTTGCATGAGTTTGCCCCCCCCCCTCCAAAATGAAGGTCTGCGTAGTACGCCACTGCTTTTGACCCCCACTGTATAACGATGAACTACTCGTAATGTGCAAGCCAGGAGAATCAAATGCGAAGTCCTTTGTCGTTATATTTTCTCCTTTTATAACAATCCTTTTATTTGACAAATCAACTTCCATATCATCCTCCAAAATTATCAATCACAAATATCAACCCATCTTCTGCAAGTAAAACAACATGATCTAGCAGCATGCGTTCGCAAAGCACGTTGGGCTGTGACAATGACAACATTTCTAAGGGGCGGGATTACAGTTGGCGCGCAATAGATAGAAGCCGTTTAATGCGTGCCATGCACTTCGTTGCCATTGTTGTTTCGGCTAAATAAAGTTGTCGATAACTATGTCCATAGTGAAAGTTAACTATTTACGACTATTATGCTGCAAAGAGAGCAACGCTCGTTTTTATGATAGAAGAAAATCTAATGAGTTTCTCTTACGATGGATTCGAAACATGCACGTCTTACAACCGAAGTTGACGACACGGAAGTTGATTTCTCGTCGTCTTACTTCAACTTTCAAATTAAAGAATTGTTAGAGAAGTAGAAAAATATCACGATAAAGGCCTTCGCATTTGCTTCTCCTGACTTGCACATTTCAAATATAGTTCATCGCTACATCAACAAAATCTAAAATTTGATTTCGTCTACAATATTACATCTCTGTTTGCAGAAATGGGCTTTCCGTTTTGAAAACAACGGCCTTTCTTGTTTATCCGCCACATTTCTCTAAATCCAACTGTAATCCCGCCCCTTTGGCTCTAGAATTTACGGTCAAACGGAGTCCGCTGTGAAATATGAAATGGTTCTCTGACTGCATGCATGCATGTAAATATTTATTTTCACAAGTTTTGGCTATATGACTTGATAGCCTTCGACGAGTAAATATTGTAGAAATATTTACAGTCAGGGAGGTTTCGTGTGACGTTTCATCCCTATAAGTTATTATATTACATATACTGTATATTGATTTTGTATTTTAATCTTAATATTTATTTGTTAATAAATTATTGTTTTTCAAGCACGTTTTGAATGGTTTAATGGCGAAATGGAATGCAATTTTGATCATTTTAACCAATTTAAATGTTTAACCAATTTTAATTTGGTCATTTGAAATTGGTTAAAATGACCAAAAAATATTGGTCGTTTGAATGCGTCTGAGACAACCAGTTTAAATTGGTCTTTTTAACCAAATAATTAATTGGTCAAATTGACCATTTATTTATTGGTCAAAACAACCAATTATTTCCGGTTGTTTTGACCAATAAATAATTGGTCAATTTGACCAATTAAATAATTGGTCAATTTGACCAATTACTTTTTTGGTTAAAACGACCAATTTAAACTGGTTGTCTCAGACGCATTCAAACAACCAATTTTTTTTGGTCATTTTAACCAATTTGTTTTTACTGTGTAATAATCCATTGTATAATTTATGCATGATATACGTTAAGTGCGCTCTAGTTCTCTAATGATGTTGGGAAAAAATGTGTTTGATGGGAAAATGCTGCTCTTGCGGGCTGCTCTCCATTGCTTAGTGCCAGGATTTTTATACACACTTTGGAAAGTAGTGATTCTAACATATATTGGGCAACGATCGTGACTGGCGACTCTCATCAATTTTTAATCTCGTTTGACCCGCGCTTAAGTGTGTCGTAGTCACCAATTAAAAACAGGTGTGATAATAATAAACTTTTCAACCGTTGCGTTTCAATCGCGTTGATTCTTCAGAAGAAGTCGCTCGAGGATGGAATCTTATTATTTTATCAACCTGATATTCATATTTGCTGGGAACATATTCCTCTTTTTCTCAGGAATATGTTTAAATTCCTTGGTCATACTCAGTTTCTGGAGGTGTGTACAGCTTCGAAAGAAGTTATGTTATTTCATGATAATGGTTTTGTCCTGTTGCGATTTGCTTACGCTTTTAACTAATAACCCATTGATGGCGCTTATCTCGATGTTGTGGTTGACAGGAAAGTTGGATGTAAATACTAGATGGCCTTATATTTCCTCCAGATTAACAACTATATTCCTTGTTTTTTCATCATTCGCTCGTTTGGTGATGAATTTCGATCGATATTTGGCGACATCTTATCCTATCTTTGATCGAACATCAGTAACGAAGGGAAGACTTTTAACTCTTCTTGCAGTACTGATCATCGTCGAAATAACTTTGGGAATGATGAGTGTAAGCGAATTTATTTCCTTCCAAGTACTTGCTGTAATTCTTTGTATTCTTCTCATTCCTGCAATGTTATTTACCAACTACAAACTGTGTCTAGTCGTCAGAAAAAGTCGTAAAAACAAAAGAATATCGCTCGACATGAAAAAGTCGTTTTCTCCGAAAAATGTATCGAGTTGTTTGCTAGCAGTCGCTTGCTCTGTGGTGTTCTCCATTCCAATATTCGTCTACATTGGATTAAGAATAAACTCGCCAGAGACAACATATACTTTGGATAATGCAACCCTTGCAGGGATGTGGGCCCAAACTATAGCTTTAATGAATTGTACATTTAACTGTTTAATCTTTTACTGGAAAAACAAGGTGTTACGTACCGAAGGATGGAAAGTGCTGAAAAGCATGAAAATATGTCGACGGGTTGAATCCTAGCTGCACTAATAACCCGTCCTCAAAAAAATTAGAGCTAAAAGGAAACTCCCTAACAATATTTGGCCATAGTAAACGTGAACCCATCGAACTATATACACTTATATTGTTTAATATATTAGGCTAATACTCATATCATCATCACTACAAGAAAGACAGTAGCTGTAACTAGGGTATGTAAGGCACTGTTATGCTTGTAATTTCATGCATCCCTCGAGATAACTAAAATATAGTCGAATAAAACGTAGAAAAATAAAATGCTTTCATTTCTTTAAATTATTTCATTATATACAAGGTGTATAAAACATTTGCCATGTTCGTGTGCTTTAGGTAATAGATATGATGTAGATTTAATTTTCCCATCCTAATAAAGATTAGGCTGTTAGCTATTGTTTTAAAATTTTTTGTATCATTGCCTTAAAAACTGGTCTAATTCCGAGGAATTTCTCCTTGGAGGTTTATCAAACTAAAATCTCTTCATTTTAGCATTATTTTACAGATAGAGCACTAAATATACTTGATAAGTTTGTTTGCCGATTGAAAAAGGTATAATTGAGAAAATTTTTTATTGAAATCAAATGGTATATCATACTTGTTACTTTAGAGCGCATGTTAGAAACATACAAAAGTTAATTATACTTATGAATATATTCCAAACAAAAATTGGTTATAATTAATTATTAATTAATATGATTCATTTCTGAAAGTATTTGAATGATAACTGAATAACTCTGTAAGAAAGCTGCTACAATATCGTTTCAAGCATGAAAAGATTGGCATGCTATAAATTAAGCTATATAATGCACGAAATTGAAGGCGAAGAAAAGTTTAATTTAAAGGGCCTTTAAAAAATTAACATTTCGAGCTTCAAAAGGTGGTCATATGTTGGCAACCTAATTCATGGTGATTTACATAAACTTTAAGTTCAGTTTTCTCATCAAGACGTTTCACAAGCCATTTACAACATTCGTTTCCGTGTTGTATCGGATATACAAACTCTCATCTTTGGTTTGGTTTTGACACGGCAGCTCATGTTGTAAATAAATAGTACATAAAACATTAGACTGATCCTAACCTCAAGTTGGCCAACTTTCTCCATAGTAAGTTCATCACTCCCAGCTTTGACTTCTTCATTAATTCCTTGAAGATCTTTCTCTTTGCCATCAATAAACTCAGTCGCTGTTACTTCATGTTGTCTGAACTCTCGCCAGTTTGCTATCACGGTATTCAGATACACTGTTCTCTTGGTTTCCCAGCTAGGCAAGCACCGCTGACCAGCGAGTTTGAAGTTGACGAATCTTTGTGATAGTTTTTTTCTTGAGGTCACTCATGCTCTCTGAGTCTTTGACAAACTCCGACATTTCGTTGCGTTTGAGTTCCTCTAGAAAACCCTGAAGGCGAAGAAATGGCATAAACGTAATTTAATATCTTCGCCCTGTAAATCACCACAAAAACATCTTACCTTCCAGAAGGTATTAGCGCTACAAGCGGTTTAAGTGCACGTGACTTTTGTCTCTGTGGCTGGGGTTTGATTCCAGTAGCATATTGCAGAAATCAAACCTCAGCCACAGAGATGAAAGACGCACCCACAGGCACTCCTCATTCTTAGGTCTCCGCCACACTATATTTCTTAAATTTACAGGGTAACATTCAATGAACAGTACATTTCCAACCGACCAGATCGTAAATAAGAACAATAACTTACATCATGAGCGTCTTTGAGCTGTAGAAATCCTGCAAGGTCTTGAACATCCTCTGCAGGAGGTAACGTCATCTTGGATTCATTCTTTGTGATCCACACATCACGACTTTCAACCTCGCTTTCGATCAGAACCAAAAACTCGCGATTCATTCTGAAACAAACACAACTTGTATAATGGGGGCATAATATGGTTAAACTAGGCTAGTATTCCAAAGGTCATAGGTTCGATTCCCACCGTGGCTGGGCATATTTTTCAAGCTCGCCCGGTGTGGATATACACTCAGAGTAACATCACAAACATTATATTCACCGGAGTACACACCATCAACACAGAAAAGATCATATTACTAGATTACATTGGTATCGAAGGAACTAGTTTCTGTTCCGAAATATCACTTACTCGAACCGACCTGACCGCGTAGCTCAGTTGGCAGAGCATTGGGCTAGTATTCCACAGGTCGTAGATTCGATTCCCACCGTGGCCGGGCATATTTTTCAAGCTCGCCTGGTGTGGATACACACTCAGAATAACATCACAAACGTCATATGGTTAAACGTAGATTAAGTGATGGTAATCAAATCAAATCAATTTTATTTCGTCAGGGTAGTCACGTCAGTTCAGAAGAACTGGTATCAATGTGAGCCCTGGCAAATATGTTTGAGGGTATATTAAAGAAGGAGGGTTTATTGATTAAACAGAAACGCAGAAAGCAAGACAGACAGTACATCAACGTGAACACCCTCTGATGTACTATCAACGATGTACTATCAACGTGAACACCCTCTCCCAATGAATGTGGTTCAGTACACATGTGCTTCTTTGTTAGGGGAAAGGAAGTGCTTATTAGAAAAAGTGATCTTCATAAATTTCTTCTGAAATTATCGGAGAAGGGGTTTGATTGAGAATTTTCGGATAATATTTTTATGCAGTTATATGCAAGTAAATTGAGCGATGAACAGAATGAAATAAATGATAGTTTGATCTACTGCCCCCACCTTTTATATCTATTCACAGCAGCCGCAGGCCGACCGTCAGTTCTCGGGGACAAGGCATGAACACGTTCTATAATGATCTGTTTATCTGCCGCAGTCAAATATACATCTTATGTTATTCTAAACCAACTCACAATCAGAAAGTAATTATACCATATACTACTTTCTAAATAAATGTTTCGACCAATGCCAGATGGTCCATATTTACATGTTCGACTGTTGATTTAATTTCGTAATTTTAGCCTTCGTCACCTGACACCAGCTTACATGATATGCCACGAACGAGAAGCCGTGGTGAGGAGAAATGAACATTTTAAAATCATTTCACACACATGTTTATTTTTGTCGAAAGTGACAAGTTTTCTGTATTTGAGATTCTCTCTAAAATACTTAAAATGTATTTAGTTACCTTGTAAATTTCAAGAGTTTGAAACACTCGAATATATTTTCCAAGTTTATTTTAGATATTTCATTGCGAATAAAAATGACCAAATAGGAACGACTTGAAATTACCGTTCGAAACAAATTTTTCTATCTCTGCTGCCGCAAAATATTCTCAGAATATTTAAACATTTGCCCAAGTGGAGGTCGCTGCATATAAGAGAAACATTATATAGGCATTGCAAGTTCTCTGCAAACTTCAGGTTTCGTAAAATGTTTTATCCACAAAATTTCGTTGTCTAACCGCGAGTTAAGTCATCTTTAAATCTAATCGCCAAGACTAGATTATTCTTATTTTGATTACTTGAGTATTCTTTTACAGAATAATTTCAACACTCAGACATACGCGTTTGCAATTATCATGGAACGGCAGAGAAATCGGCCATTTTAATTAAATTGATCGTGTCAGTTCAGTTTTAAACGCAATGATAGAAAAAATATCTCATTCGATAGTATAGTTAAAGGCCTAATCTTTATTAGGATGGGAAAATTAAATTTATACATACCCAATACTTAACGCACAATAGCATGGCAAGTTTTTATACACCCTGTATATAATGAAATTAATAATTTAATTAATGAAAGCATTTTAATTATTCTACATTTTATTCGACTATATTTTAGTTATCATCAGGAATGGATGGGTTATTAGTGCAGCTAGGATTCAACATGTCGACATATTTTCAGGCTTTTCAGAACTTTCAATCCTTCGGTACGTAACACCTTGTTTTTCCAGTAAAAGATTAGACAATTAAATGTACAATTCGTCGAAGATATGGTTATAGTTCGAGTCTGACCGATCAGGCCATTAAATGGAAAGCGCCCATAGAAACACAGGATTTTCGTTTTTCAACCAATCAGCGCAGGCGTTATTAAAAGGTTATTTTAAAAAGGTATCTATAACACTCCACTGGTATCCACAACACTCCATAGGTATCAATAACATTAACACTCCACTGGTATCTATAACGCTCCATAGCTATCTATAACACTCCACAGCTATCTATAACGCTCCATAGCTATCTATAACGCTCCAGAGGTATCTATTGGACTACATAGCTATCTATAACGCTCCATAGCTATCTATAGCACACCATAGGTATATATAACAATCCATAGCTGTTTATAACAATCCACTGGTATCTATAACGCTCCATAGCCGTGTATAACACTTCATAGGTTTCTATAACGCTACACCCAGGGACGCCGGAACGATGTGAAGGCAAGGGTTGCAGATTTTCATGAAAGAGCATTTTTGAATTGATATATATACTAAGAGATGTTTGCAAAACATCGGTAGTTGAACTTCGCCTAATCATGTTTTCTATTTATTGGATGATAGGGGTGTGAGGGGGTTCTCCGCCAGGCGATTGTGCTATTCTTGAAGCTCGATGACTGCATTTCTTGCGTTTTCTGAAGCAAATTCGTAAAATAATTGCACTAACATTTCTGACAATTCGCTACTTTGCCAAGGCGATCCTTTAAATTGAAAGGGCACCTTTGCCCCCGTTGCCCCTCTTGGTAAACTGCAACGGGGGCGGCTGCCCCTCCTGCCCCCCAGTTCCGGCGTCCCTGGCTACTTCATAGGTATCTCTAACACTCCACTGGTATCTGTAACGCTCCATAGGTATCTATAACACTCCACAGTGATCTATAACGCTCCATAGCTATCTATAGCACTCCATAGGTATATATAACAATCCATAGGTATCTATAACACTCCACTGGTATCTATAACGCTCCATAGGTATCTATAACACTCCATAGGTATATATAACACGCCATAGGTATCTATAACACTCCACTGCTATCCATAACACTCCATAGGTATCCAAAACACTCCATAGGAATCTATAACGCTCCACTGGTAGCCACAACACTCCATAGGTATCTATAACACTCCACTGGTATCCATAACGCTCCATAGCTAGGTATCTATAACACTCCACAGATATCCAATACGCTCCATAGCTATCTATAACGCTTCAGAGGTATCTATTGGACTCCATAAGTATCTATAACGCTCCATAGCTATCAATAGCACTCCATAGGTATATATAACAATCCATAGCTGTCTATAACACTCCACTGGTATCTATAACGCTCCACAGCCGTCTATAACACTCCAGAGGTATATATAACACTCCATAGGTAAATATAACACTCCATAGGTATCTATAACGCTCCATAGCTATCTATAGCACTTGATTATAGCACGGCTCGATGGGCATTTATGACAACCCATAGGTATCTATAACACTCCACTGGTATCTATAGCACTCCATAGGTATCTATAACACTCCACTAGTATCCACAACACTCCATAGGTATCAATAACACCCCACTGGTATCTATAACGTTCCATAGCTATCTATAACACTCCACAGCTATATATAACGCTCCATAGCTATCTATAACGCTCCAGAGGTATCTACTGGACTCCATAGGTATCTATAACGCTCCACTGGTATCTATAACGCTCCATAGGTATCTATAACACTCCATAGGTATATATATACCACGCCATAGGTATCTATAACAATCCACTGGTATCCATAACACTACATAGGTATCCATAACACTCCACTGGTATCTATAACGCTCCATAGCTATCTATAACACTCCACAGCTATCTATAACGCTCCATAGCTATCTATAACGCTCCAGAGGTATCTATTGAACTCCATAGGTATCTATAACCCTCCATATCTATCTATAGCACTCCATAGGTATCTATAACGCTCCATAGCCGTCTATAACTCTACATAGGTATCTATAACACTCCACTGGTATCCAAAACACTCCGTAGGTATCTATAACGCTCCATAGCCGTCTATAACTCTACATAGGTATCTATAACACTCCACTGGTATCCAAAACACTCCGTAGGTATCTATAACGCTCCACTGGTATCCACAACCCTCCATAGGTATCTATAACACTCCACAGATATCCATAACGCTCCATAGCTACAGTATCTATAACGCTTCAGAGGTATCTATTGGACTCCATAAGTATCTATAACGCTCCATAGCTATCTATAGCACTCCATAGGTATAAATAACAATCCACAGCTGTCTATAACACTCGACTGGTAACTATAACGCTCCACAGCCGTCTATGACACTCCAGAGTATCTATAACACTCCATAGGTATCTATAACACTCCATAGGTATCTATAACACTCCACTTGTATCCATAATACTCCACAGGTATCTATAATACTCCACAGGTACCCATAACTCTCCATAGGTATCTATAACGCTGCACTGGTATCCACAACACTCCATAGGTATCTATAACACTCCACTGGTATCTATAACGCTCCATAGCTATCTATAACACTCCACAGCTAACTATACCGCTCCATAGCTATCTATAATGCTCCAGTGGTATCTATTGGACTCCATAAGTATCCATAACGCTCCATATCTATCTATAGCACTCCATAGGTATATATAACAATCCATAGCTGTCTATAACACTCCACTGGTATATATATATGAGAGCCGTAGCTCTGAATAGTTGTCTCAGTGAATATGCGAACTATATGCGAACAATATCATTTGAATAATTTGAGCAAGAATTTTAAACCAAGTACCCATCAAGTAGCCGCTGTACAAGGCAGGCTCATGTCCCGCATTTCTTGCCATGTTTATTTTAAGAATTTTTATCACTGCGCAAAGATATCTAAAACAGGGACCGCAGTGCGTAATCGGAAGTGTGGAAAAGGCCTTTGCATGGACATAACTAGAGAGTATGAAAGGGGTATCTCGCAGAAACAATTCAAAATTTGAACTCTGGAAATGCCATTTCCAACGTTTTGACGAAAAGAATGTATGTTAATTTAGACAAAGATAGATAGATAGATAGATATAGGTATGCAGGTGAAATTCAGGTGCACAATGCTTTCTCCATGACTTTCTCCATGACACATGGCTTTCTCCATGACATAGTTGAAAACACAACGAAATTGTTGGTTAAAAACAAGGAAGGAAACAGCTGAGGCCAGTAGACCTGACCTATTTGAAATTCGTTATGTCACAAATACAACGAATATGACAAAGTTTTTCTTCTATTTTCCTATATTTTTCGAAATGAAGGAGATACATTGACATTCAAGCTGACTTCATTGTCTTTTGAACATGCCTGTTTATTCGAAGTGAATTATTTTTTCCGGTCTTTCCTTTAGTTCCTTTACTTTCGTAACTAAGAAATTGGTGTCACAAAAACTACTATGTTGATGTGATTGAAATTTGTGACCCGCCATGATGTTATTTGGGAGGGGGAAACTTAATAGTTTGTGAACGTTACAATTCTATAGGCGGATGAATTTTAGGTTTCTCAACCAGCGTTTCCTGCATTGTGGAGACCTTGGAGAAAAATGTATACAATAGGTCATAATAAATATTTTTAACAGTGCGAACCCAGTGTGTTCAATTCATCTCGGAATTTAACGAACCCAAAACATTTGCATCGCTGTAGTCGATAATTTATCACGTCAATCTCCTGAAATTTGACTGCCGCCGTTCAGTTACGTAGCAAAAATTATAGAGCTTTATTTTCTTTTTTTTCTTTCCTTGACACTTGGTATGTCATAAGATACTTATTAATTCATTGTGACTTTCGGAAAACAGTGCGTTTCGTGAACCCTCGACTGCCAATGTTTCCATCGGCTTCAGACCGTTTGGCCAAGCGGTAATGTTATGACGGCATTTGACCCCCCGTTCGAAAGGTTATTTTATGAGGATTTCAACGGTGGTTTCGGTTTTACAAGGGGATAAATACTTATCGAAACATTTTCATCAGAAGCAATTGAATGAAAAATATCAAAATTCTTGTCGACGATAATTAGATTCCGTGTAAACTCAATGAACAATTGCATGAAATGCGGCAGGAAATAAAGACGTGGTGATTCCGCAAAATAAAACAATTTATTAATAGGAAAGTTCGAACATGGTTTAAAAAATAGCATTTTTGTTTTCTGAGCTGAAGATACTCAGTGGAATTTCACTCGAGCTTGTAATGCATAGTAACCACTGATCTGTTTGCTATGTGAAAATGCATTTAGACTCCCATTTCATCCGTGCACGACAGCGAACATTTAGGAGGGGTCCGGGGGTGGCTACCCGGAGAAAATTTTTAAATTCTAAAAACGCTAAAGCGCCACCTTAAGCACTTTAGGGGCTATTTTGTTGTGTTTTCGTGATTTTAAATAACCATTTAACTACTCTACTTAATCAGAAACAAATATATTAAACGTAGCAAGATATAAAACTTCCATTATCAGAAATGAAAACATAATGCACATGATATTTGTGGTGTTACTCTGAGTGTATATCCACACCGGTCGAGCTTGAAAAATATGCCCGGCCACGGTGGGAATCGAACCTACGACCTTTGGAATACTAGCCCAATGCTCTTCCAACTGAGCTACGCGGTCAGGACGGTTCGAGTAAGTGATATTTCGGAACCAAATCTAGTTCCTTCGATACCAATGTATTCTAGTAATATGAATTTTTTTCTGTGTTGGTGTAGTGTACTCAGGTGAATATGATATTTGTGGTGTTACTCTGAGTGTATATCCACACCGGGCGAGCTTGAAAAACATGCCTGGCCACGGTGGGATTCGAACCTACGACCTTTGGAATACTACCCCAATGCTCTTCCAACTGAGCTACGCGGTCAGGGCGGTTCGAGTTTTTCAAGCTCGCCCGGTGTGGATATACACTCAAAGTAACACCACAAATATCATATTCACCTGAGTACACTACACCAACACAGAAAAAAATTCATATTACTAGAATACATTGGTATCGAAGGGACTAGATTCTGTTCCGAAATATCACTTACTTGAACCGCCCTGACCGCGTAGCTCAGTTGGAAGAGCATTGGGCTAGTATTCCAAAGGTCGTAGGTTCGAATCCCACCGTGGCCGGGCATGTTTTTCAAGCTCGCCCTGTGTGGATATACACTCAGAGTAACACCACAAATATCATATTCACCTGAGTACACTACACCAACACAGAAAAAATTCATATTACTAGAATACATTCGTATCGAAGGAACTACAATCACTTTCAGAAGTTGTTGGGACACATGTAATTTTAGCTTGTAAGTGGATCATTATAGTTTTTTACACACAATATCGCTCCCCTCCCCCTCCCCCCACCCCAATCAATGTTGTTAAATCCAAAACACATCAAACCCGACGAGAAATGGGACACAACATTGAACAGGGGGCGGGGGATTGTCGTTTGTTGAAATTCAAAGGTTTTGTGGCATCTGTCCCAAGACTTTTGAAACTGGTTGTCTGAAAGGCAATGAAAAGCATATTTAACCTCTTTGAATTACCGAGTGTTTTAGAATATCAGTTTTGCGAAAATCGTATAGCATTTAGTATAACATATTTACTGAATTGCACTGGCATATATAATGCTTTTATACTGTGCTTGTTGTGGTCAATATATTTGAAATGTAACATAATCCAACAGACTGAACAGTATATCATAAATGAGCTTATAAACAGATGTGATATGTGGGGAGGGACGTATGCTGAGAAATTAAACCTGCTCTACATGCAAGGGATAAAACACATCTATCTGGTTAATTATCGATCTAGGTTATTGCTGAATAAAATGCAAGGGTAAGTTATCGAAAACCACTTAAAGATTGGGCATATTTGACATGAAAATATGTATGTAATATAAAACGGTTTGAACACGTGCTCGATTGTCACTCGGTTGTCACTTTGAAACACATAGCATTTTCATTGATATAACTTGCAATTGTCGCGGGATAATAATTTTCAGAATATTAAGTACTAAGCAAAAGTGTCTAGGTAGCGCGTATTGATATATTGCGGGTTCTACTTAATCACAAAGTATATAAATTGTATAAAATGTAGCTATCGATTGACACTCAACTCTAGAAATATCACTATGATATATCAGATTTATTTATGTAGAAAAGTGTCAATCGATCCAAAACTTGGTTTAATCAATTTCAAACCCTTTCATTAATAGCCAATACATTATGTTTGTGATGTTACTCTGAGTGCATATCCACACCGGGCGAGCTTGAAAAATATGCCCGGCCACGGTGGGATTCGAACCTACGACCTTTGGAATACTAGCCCAATGCTCTTCCAGCTGAGCTACGCGGTCAGGACGGTTCGAGTAAGTGATATTTCGGAACAGTATCTAGTTCCTTCAATACCAATGTGTTCTTGTAATATGAATTTTTTTTTTTTTTTTTGTGCTGGTCTTGTGTACTCAGGTGAATAATATGTTTGTGATGTTACTCTGAGTGCATATCCACACCGGGCGAGCTTGAAAAATATGCCCGGCCACAGTGGGATTCGAACCTACGACCTTTGGAATACTAGCCCAATGCTCTTCCAACTGAGCTACGCGGTCAGTACGGTTCGAGTAAGTGATATTTCGGAACAGT